GTATATATATATTTCATTTAACTATTTAAAAATTTATAAAGTCATATCTTTTACTATTACTCCCACCGTCTTTATTTTAACCCTATAGTTTTGGGTTTACTTTATTAATTTTTCATTGTATAAAGTTACTACGGAGTAAAAGAATAATGGTGGTCTAAGTTATTGTTTGTGAAAGAAAAATAGTAATTCTATAACTATATATGTATAGTGGAACAACGTGTTTTCGTTATACAAACAAATCATAGGTTAAAAAAATATGAACAGGATTATGATTTTATTCTAATATATATCATACTTATAATTTTCATAAAACTAATATTAGTAAATTAAGGTCGCATTATAAGTTGCATAAAAATAAAACAAATTATCCGTTTTCTAACAAGCAAAATAAAATAAAAAATTATAGGATTTAATGAAAAAAATCTTTTTCATGAGATTTATGTATAAAAAACCGTGCATCGCACGGGATTCCATCTAGGTATATATATTATTAACGCCATATAGGCTAACAGAATTACACCAAAAATACTACGGGATTTAGCTAGAGTAAAGAGAACTGGAAAGCATTAACTAAGGTAAACAACTTATAATTTATTTTGCTACTATTAGTGCTGATTATAGTTACTTCTTCAAAGCAAACCACATGATTGCTACACACACGAACAGAATAAATTTCCACATATCACAATTGAACCCCACATTAATCGTAACAGCACTACTATGTCCACCCATTTGAAGAACTTGCAGCCTCTTCTTTTTGTTTCAGCATCATAATCATGGCACGCAAGGAACCTTCTCTCAGGATTATCCTTTGTCCACACCGTGCTCTTAGATACTAGTAGGCCAAAATGACATCTATTACCTGTTGCATTCATTCTAAACATGCAGCTAATATTTTTTTTTTTTGAAAATTCAAACTCAATTTGCAATTTAATCTTTTGATTTTTTACAGGAATGTTTGATGATGCAGCAGCTGTTGAGCATGAAGCATTACTGATTTATAGTTGCAATTTTACTATTATTTTGAACTTCAACGGCTACTTCATTTGTAACAGTTATTTTGTGGGAAACATCAAAACATTAGTACCTTGCCTTAGTAATGCCAGAAAATATCATTTTCCTTTTTTTTTTTAGTTAGTAACCAGTTACAATAGGTTATTTGGCCTGGAAACCTATTTCAGTACCTTGCCTGCAACAAACCAAACCTCGGTAACTTCCCTACAACTTTTGGCAAAAGTACCTTGTATTACTATTAACTCCTCAAACAAGTTATGACCTTCAAGGGAAAATAAATTTGTTGACATATAATATAAATCAGAAGGTGCTGAAGTTTTCATTGAATTAAAAAAAGAAAATTATATTCTGACATAAAAAAGGAAATTAAATTAAAAAAAAAGGGAAATTTAACAAGGAAACCCTCTCTATTCTCTTTCTTTCTCTCTCTTCTCACATAAAATTACAATTTGTTCTCATTCGATCTTCTCATATTTTTTCTCAATCAAGACCCCCTCTTTGCACCTGTGATCTCCTCTATCTCGTTCAATATGGTTTTTCAGGTTCCTTTTTCTCGTTCGTCACTTTCGTTCGTGATTTAAGTGGTCAAATTTAACCATAAAAATTCCAGATTTAGTGTTTTCATTGTCGAATTTGACCGTATAAACCCATATAAATTGAAATTTGAGATAGATATGTTGATATTTGTGTTTCTTTTGTTTATTTTATTGTGATTTTTTTTTCTTTTTAGACTTTGTTATTTTTTTTAATTATGTTTAGTTTATTTCGATTTTCGGTTAATTTTCGGTTGATTAGTCTTATTTTTGTATTTTGGGTTATTTTGGCTATGGTATATTTTGTTGTATTTTTGGTGGTTTGTCGGGGCCCCGTGGTGGTGGAGTTTGGGGGTGGTATGCTGGTCTCAGGGTGGGTATTGGTGGGATTTTTTACGAAACTGAGCCCTATTAGCAAACTATTTACGAATATAGACGCGTCTATTTACGAATATAGACGCGTGGTCAGCGTTTTACCTCTGTTATTATTTTTTAAAAATTTCTTATTTAGTGAAATACAAATCTTTTTTTAAAAAAATATGGAAATACATAAAAACGCTGCCTCAGTCAGCGTTTTTGTCAGCCCTTAAAACGCTGACTGAGTCAGCGGTTTTGCCTGGTATATTTTTCGCGCACTCACTCTTCCTCAAAACTAAAAACTCAAACTCACTCTTCCTCACGCAATAGCCTATCTTCCTCAAAGCTCTGCCGTCGCCGTCGTCGCCGCCGCCTGCTGCCTGCCGCCGTCGCCGCCGCCTATTGCCTGCTGCCGCCGCGCCTCTCCTCTTCTTTATAATCACATTGTTAGTACTTCTCACTTATTTGTTTTTAAAATTTAAAAACCTAGGTTAGTTTGATAATTATATATACTACATTGTTTTAATTTGATAATGTTGTTGTTTATTCTAAGTTAGTTTGATGTAAATTGACAATTATGTTGATAATTCTAAGTTGGTTTGTTGTAATTTGATAATTGTCTAGTATAAAAGCCCTAAATTGGAGTGGTACATGCGGATTACACGGCGTTTCATCAACCCCAGCTACACACCGCCATCCGCACATTACCATCCATCCTTTGACGTGATCAGGGGATATGTAAGTGTATTTGATTAACTTATTTTTATCAATTTTAAATTTGTATATCATTCAACTAACTCATCCTTAATTACTGCAGGCGTTGGATATGACGGCGATGGTTGACGCACTGTCGGACGTCCTTCCAGGCATACCTGAGCCGCCCAGAGCACAGGTCGAGCGGGTGCGAGATATGGGCATGGCTACCTTGCAGAGATATGGTCACGCCTATCTCGTCCACCCCCGGGACGATCATGGCGGCCACTCTAGTCACTCACAGTTTGAGGCTGGCCAGAGTAGCTGTGGGGGTGATCCTTCGTCATTCACGGGCGCAGAGGAGTACGACATTCGCAGTTCGCGCCCCTACGTCATCCTGATGACCCATCTTCCAACCAGCTGACTCCGCCAGTACGCCCGAACCCATTTACCACGGTCCGTCACTACAGCCGTCGTCAAATGCCGAGAGTGGACATACTAGATAGAGAGCCGTTACACCAAATTGATAAGTCAGAATAGGATAGAATTATCTGATTTATTTGTTGTAATGACCTTCTCTAGTTTGTTGTACATAACACTTACATTACATTATTATTTGAATAATTATTTGAATGAATTTATGTCTTGTTTGAATTTTAAATTCCTTATTTGTCCACGTTTGACTCATTTCGTTCAAAATAAATTGTGGATGTGGAGGTGGTGGATGTGGAGGAGGATGGGTGGTGGAGGTGGTGGATGTGGAGGAGGAGGGTGGTGGAAGATGTGGAGGAGGAGGGTGATGGTGGTGGTGGATGTGGAGGAGGAGGGTGGTGGTGGTGGTGGTGGATGTGGAGGAGGAGGGTGATGGTGGTGGTGGATGTGGAGGAGGAGGGTGGTGGTGGTGGTGGTGGATGTGGAGGAGGAGGGTGATGGTGGTGGTGGATGTGGAGGAGGAGGGTGGTGGAGGATGTGGAGGAGGAGGGTGGTGGTGTTGGTGGATGTGGAGAGGGTGGTGGATGTGGAAGGGGGCTGCACTGGCTGCTGTTGGGGGCCTGCTGTTGCTGCCTTCAGCCAACAGATAAAACGCTGACTGAGGCAGCGTTTTATGCTTAGGTGTAAAACGCTGACTCAGTCAGCGTTTTTCTCTGTTATGGATACAAGAAAAACGCTAACTGAGTCAGCGTTTTACTGTATTTCCAATTTTTTTTTAAATTTGTATTTCACATAATACGAAATTTTATAAAAAAAAATAATAACCAAAGGTAAAACGCTGACCGAGGCAGCGTTTTATGTCAGAAGCTCAGTTTCGTAAATAGTTTGGTCACGCGTCTAGATTGGTAAATTGTTTGCCAATTAAGCTTATTTTCGTAAAAAATCCGTATTGGTGTAAGTGGAGGGCGATGGTGATTGGTCCGAAAATGGGTAGTTGTTGGTCCAAAAATGGGTGTGTTTTTTTTTCTTAGTTTTTGTTGTGTTTTTAGTTTGATTTGTTTATTTGAGTTTAATTTCATATTTTAGGTTTTTTTTTTTTCTTTTTTTTTTTTAGTTTTTTTTTTTTGGTTTATTTGATTTTTTTTTTTTAATTTTTTTTAGTTTGATTTTTATTTAATTTCAAACATTTTTTGTAATAAAAAAAGAGGTAACTGGTTGGAAGATGTCATTTCAAGAAAACTTACCTTCGATGATGGTTTCAGTACCTTATTTGTCATGGTCCAAAGTTCAGTACCTTAGTTGCTTCAACTATTAAAGTTCAGTACCTTCCATTTCTATTAACTCATAAGTATATTATTTATACGAAGTAGACTAAAACCATGCTTAGTTTGGACTTCTGATTTTATTTTTTTTAAAAAAAAAATAAAATCAGTTGAGTTTTATAATTTATTTTTTTTAACAAGTTTTTAGTCTAATTTAGATTTAGTAATTATTAACCAAATAAATATGTTATCTATTTGTTAAAAAAAAAAAAGGAAATTATCAAATACTAGAGCGTACTCATGCTGATGCACGTGATATGTTATTCGCTAAAGAAAACACAAAATAAAATGTTGGTAGTTATTAGAGAGTCCCTTGAGAAAAAAAAATTAGGAAATTAGTGGGATAGATAGTTATTGCTAGTTTCTTATTTATAAAAATAAAAATAAAAAAAAATTAAGTATTGGGGTTTTGGTGAAGTGTTAACTTAAAATATAGAAATCATAATGTGACTAGTATTAGAATTATTATCATACTATGGCCCATTGTGCTTCCCAAAACAAAAAACGGAAAACAGAAAACTGCCATCACCCATCTACTCATAGTGCTTCCCATCACTCCACCACTTCACGGCACTATTCTTCCAGGCACTATTCTTTCAGTCACCTTCCACTTCGCCGGAGCCAATTTAATACGAGTACAAAACAAAAGGCAAAAAAAACACCAGCAGGAGATTAATTGATGTTAAGACTGAAGATCTTAACCTTGATTTATACAAGTATTACAATTTATTTATAGAACAATGGGAGAGCAACTGACAACGGCAAGCACTAGACTTATTCAACTGTATTTAATGTTCTGCTATATGATGTTAGTTCTACAAGAGGCTACTGAGCACATTATACCGCTGTTGGCCACTCCCATTTGTAATTTTGCAGTCTCTAAAAATCTGAATACTCTCAGAATAAAAGATTGAACCAGATACATGGCAAGGAACTTGTATATTAACCAGAAAAAATATTTACCTAAAATTCCATTTATCCAAGTTCCTCCATGATCAGAAACAACTGCCTTTCACTCTGAAAGAGTATTGACAAAACACCTGGACTGAACCAAAGGTGTACTTCAATAGTAACCCAACAGTTTACCAGTGGTACTTGGCTGCAACAAGGACTTCCTCATAAATCTCAGCAGCATGGTCCCAACTAAGATCCTGTGTCATCCCTCGTGTTTGGAGACCTTCCCAACTGTCTTTATACTGACGGAATGTCAATAAACAATTGCCTAAAGCATGAATCAGGCGGTGTGCCTCGGCCCGATCAAATGTCCAGCCAAGACCAGAATTGCTATATGGATCAAAAGGTTGGACAGTATCTTTCAGCCCACCAACAGCATGAACAACAGGAATAGTTCCATACTTCATTGCATATAGCTGATTAAGCCCACAAGGCTCAAACCTCGAAGGCATAAGTAATATATCTGCTCCAGCAGTGATTCGGTGAGCCGTCTTCACAGAAAACCCAACCCATCCCCTTACTTTATCTGGGTATTGGCTTTCAAATTGCTTGAGCATCTGTTCCAGATCCTGCCTCCCTGTTCCCAACATAACTAGCTGCACGTCTAGGCCCATTAACCAAGGAATTGATTCTGCTATGATATCAACACCTTTCTGGTTATCTAGCCTTCCGATAAAACCAATCAATGGGACATCATCTCGAACAGGCAAACCGAGCTCCTTTTGCAGTGCTGCCTTACACTGTGATTTGCCAGGTTTCAGCGTCTCAAGGGAATAGTTAATGTACCCGTCAGATTGTAGATGAACATCCACTTGTGGGTTCCATTCTTTCACATCGATCCCATTCACTATGCCTCTTAATTTCCAATCATTCTCGCTGATAATCCCATCTAAACCCCAACCGCCTTCCTGAGTTTTCAGCTCCCATGCATACCCATGACTTACAGTCACTATGCGATCAGCAGCCTTGAGACCAGCAGCAAAGATATTGAAATGCTCTCCGCCAACTGGATCATACATCTTGAAGTAGTCTATGTAGTGTGGTGGAAGATCCACGCAGGAGAAGTCATCTACAGGACCACGACCCTGACAGTGATCAATTGGTTAAATAACTCAGAAGTCAATACAAAATCAGATCTTAGCTGGTCTAGCATGGAAAGAGTAATGTTTGGCATTGTTTATAAGTGGACCTTGTTCATGATGATGCACGAAGTCAAAAGATGATTACATGTCTAGGGTTGGGTTGCAGCACATTTGGGCCAAAAGGAAGGAGCCACTCACATATAATGATTTGTACGAAAAACTTCATGTTTCTACAAAAATTAGATGCTGCTCAGCAATCATCGTGAAGAATGCGAATATGTTGCATCCAGCTTAGATATGAGAATTGGAGAAACCGACAAGTTACAATATAGACGCTTCTAAATGCATATATGGATCATGGAATAGTTAAGGAAGCAGAAGGCCTTTCTTTTTTCTTTTTCTTTTTTTTTTCTTTAATTTTATTTTTATTTGGATTAAATACTCCTCTTCTAAAGTTTGCCAATGCATGTTTTCAACCATTAATATCTTTGATAATCTATAAGGAAAAAATATTTTTTAAAAATTGATATTTTGATATTGTACAATGATATGAGTAGAATGAGAGAAGCAGAGTGTGTAAATAGTGTAATAATCAAAGTAATATATCTAAGAAACAGAGGAAGTATCAAATAAAGATTTTGAAATGCTTCCCAGAATGTGCAAAGAAACTTCAGTGAGAGAAGCCATATATTATGCAGCAATATTTTACACGATAGGCTTTACATTCTCTGGAATAAACATCACCATGCAAACATTATGACTGTTTTAGGTGAGAGATTGTGCCAGATTGATAGAATTACAAACATTGAAGGAGGCTGGCAACAATGTATTGACAAGCAGATGTATACAATATTACAATTATGGGTGCAGCTATAATAAACAAACTTCAAAAAAATTAGTTAAAATTCAAGCCCATCAATTACAGCATACCTGATGTGCTATGTTGTGGATGACAAGGACTGATCGTGTGTACATCATCAGGCCATTGTCACGATAGTATGCTTTCAAATACACTGGTAGCAATGCGGTATGCCAATCATTTGCAATAAAAACCAAATTGCCATCACCGTAGCACACACCTCCACAAGGGACATGCCAAGGAACCTGGAAAAATCAAGACTCTGCTCATCAGTGTTATATGCAATCAAAGGCAATCTCTGTGGATCAATCAGTTCCAGGAGAGGTTATGTATAATTGATGTTCTAGACCTACCAACAATAAAATCTTCACTTGTAGGCTGTAGCTGCCTTAGGTGATAGTGTGATACATTATTGGTAGGCTAGATAGCCATCACATGTCGATACACTTTAGCATAAATAGTGAGTTTCAGGCTCAAATTTGAGCAAGGATTGGCAATAAATATTTCTGTCCATCCCTCAATAATCACTCATACACACACAAACTACCTCTGTTCTACATGTACCCACTTTTGTTTTAAGCTGTTCTATCAAATTCTATCCTTTTTGAATCTTTCCATTCTTGGTAAACATTATATACTATTTATGGATCTTTGCCCCACACTCTTTTTCTCTCTCTTTCCCTTAAATTAAAATTCAAATTAAACTAACACTCTTTTTTCTTTGCATATATAATAAACAAAGCATGCTGTCCCCAAAAGTTACACTCTTAAAACCAATGGCACAAAGATCCAGCACTTACAATTAATCATAATATACGCACACCCACAGATTAAAAAAAAAAAAAAAAAAAACTTACAGAAACAAATACATAGAGCACAAAATCTTTCTCCAGACTCCAGACAGAAAAGATAGTGTTGCAGCTGTTGCCATAGTTTAGTTAAATTCCTTTCACTTCACAGTGTTTGTCAGGCTGAGTTTTTACAAAATTTAGTTCAAAGAGAAAACAGAATATTTGGAAAATAGCCAATAGAAACAGCTTAATTGGATTATTGGGTGAAATGCTTAGTGAGATCATGGATCATTAGTATTGTTAAGTGAAAATAACTGCAATGTGGAAAGTAGGTCTCATATTAAATTAGATATATTACTTGCACCTCCAACTAACACTGCTTTATATAAGGTCCGGTCCACAAATATGCATATCCTTCATTACAGCCAAAACAGGAACAGCAGAAATGAAAAATCTAAAACAAGGTTATTAAATTATACCTCAACGGCAGCTTTGCAAAATAGAGCCATACGTTTCAAAATGTCCTACAAATATAGTGATATGAATGAAAATCAGAAACATCATATAACAAAGCAGGAAAAGAATAGAAATTCAAGACAAATATCAGAAATTATTATTCTTGCATTCAAGTAATTGGAAAAACAGGGTCTAATTACTCTAATTAACCAGAACACATTAAGTACCATATGTGAAAGTTCCGCAGAGAATATCCAGTAACTGTCTACTTGAAAACATTTCTATGTACTGAAATAAAAGCTGCATGAGAATTTCACTTTGGGGAACTATATGTCGTTTATAAACTGACTCAAACATGTATGTCCAATTGTTTACTGAAGTAAAACCTTCTTATAGTGTTCAAATTCTATATCTTAATATATTTTGCATAGGTTGTATGGATCAGTAAGCAATTAAACGACTATTGTGAAATTGAATCAGAGGGCATCAATGCAGTGGATGAAGTAAAATACATAATAGAATCCATCTCTTAAAAACCTTTAAAGTACACACCAAACACTTGAAAGTAAAATTTCATGATTATCTGAAACAGCATAAATTTCTTTACCTGTCTACTACCCCCATATATATCATTCAGATGACGAAACATTGGGGCTTCAATAAATACAAAGTCTACACCATCAATATATGTCTGGAAGTAATTTACTTCTACATCCTGCAAAAACCATACTCAATTGAGTTGAAACAGCATAAGAACTGATTACCACAGTTTCTAAAGGACAGGCTAAAGCTTATTCATATTTCTACCTGGCCAGCCACCTGATATCTTTTCATCACTCCCGTATGGTGAGTATCAGCATAGTCACCATATCGAGGTGTCACAACCTGAAAAAGTAAAATAAAAATTCAACAAAAGTACAAAAACAAAACCAAAAAAAAAAAGGATTGAAAAAGAATTTCCGAGATGTAATTTTCTACAGAATTTACACTTCCACAGACGCAGGCATGTTATTATGGAGTACTCCCTCCGTTTTTTTTAAGTGCCCCACTTCCCAAAAACGGCTTTTTTTTTTTATAGTGTCCCATTACCAAATTTAGAAACCCCAATTGTCCTGCTTGGTGGGATCAAAATGCCACTGTGTCGGGATATCTTATCGATCGATTATGTTGTAGAAACTTCCACCTAGGAATAAAAAGAAAAGGGCTTTCACCATCTAGGATACCGCACTCCACTGATTCGCCTAGCATGGCGATACATTTATACAAAACTTCTACCTCGAGCACACGCCCCGCCGACTTCAAGGCCCAGTCAGTAATCACGTCAATAGGGCTGGAAGGGAATGGAGAGTTTTCGGCCGTTCTGTCATTGTCCTAGGTCCTTCACTTCCAAAAAGATCTTTTATTTCATTTTTAAGAAATAAAGATATTCCCCGATACTGAAGGACCGATTTTAATCCATATAAGTTCAAATTTTGGCAGCGAAAGTTTCAGTAAAAGAATTATCACGAACGACAATAATTTCACATTATTTTATTAGTATTTCTCTCTCTTTCTTTTGATCCCACCATCATTTTATAATATTTCTCCCTCTCATATTATACCTAGTGGTCCCTCAGCTATATTTTACTCTCTTACTTTTCCAAATTTTTTATTCCTAACCATACTCACCTATATATTATTTTACTCTTTTGCCTAAAACTCCGCACACACCCCAATGGGGCACTTTAAAAAAACGGTGGGAGTGTACTCCCTCCTTGTTTTAATAAGTGTTACACTTTGACCAACACACAGTTGTAGGCAATGTAATTGACTTAAATAAAATAAGAGGTAAGTGAGGTAGTTGGAGTATTAAAAAAATTTAAGAGAATTAGTGGGGTTAATAGTTTATTGAAAAGTAATGAACGTGAGAGGAAAGAAATAATAAAAAAGTAGTAATGGGTTTGGGTGGAGACCATGAAAGGAGAATGATATGATATTAAAATGTAGTTTTTTGGCAAAAAAAGGAAACACTTATTAAAACACAGCTGCATTTAGTAAGTGTAACACTTATTAAAACACGGAGGGAGTATTGTTATTTCAAGTTTGAATGGAGCTTCTTTAAGACCAAAACATGAAAAAAAGTGCCCCTTGATAAACTGTACAAAAGGTCATAACTCATAAAATCTATCTATAGAACTGAAAAGACTCAAGTCTAGAATAGTATATAAGCTACAGAAACTTCTGGGATTGAGAAATTAAGGTTAGAGAAAATATTCTTCTTCATCAACTGAACATAGTCCTAAAATCTCAGCACAAATTAATAGAATTAGTTTCAATTTGAAATATCAAATACATTTTACGAGCCAAAGAAGGAGGATTGCTCACCATTACTCGATGCCCACGCCTAGCCAAAGCTTTTGGCAAGGACCCAGCAACATCTCCAAGACCACCTATGAGAACTCATTGCAATTACTTTATGCAGCCAAAAAACATGCACAAACAAGCATGCGAACGTGAAGAATAAGAACATTTGTGAAATTAATTACAAAGAAAATCAGAAACACTTATATTATTGAAAGATATAAATCAAGCATATATTTATACTCCCTCCATCCCATAATATAGTTACTGTTTTCCTTTTGGCAAAATTACTCTCATTGACACTAACTTTGTTGTGTTTTGCAATTATTGACACCAACTTATATCACTGGTTGGATTGACACCAACTTGTTACAAAAATAACTAAATTGACAATGACACCCAATAACAAATATTACTTAACTGTAAACCCTTATAAAAACATTAAATTCTTTTCCAACATTCATTTACTTGTAAATAGTGCTTACTGTGTTGGGAAAAAAATTAAATAGCTAACTAATGTAGAGTAAACCCGAGTGTTTAGTGCCTTTATGTCAATTTTTTCTTTTTTTAGCAAGTTGGTGTCAATTTAACAAGAACAATAAGTTCGTGTCAATAGTTGCAACATACTCTAAATTTATGTCGATGAGTGTAATTTTGCCGGATTATGGGTGTCCCAAATGTTGCTCTCGTTTTATTGTTTTTCCCCTATTTAGACACTACAAAATATCTATATTACCCTTATTATTTTTGTCTATTTAATGCACTACCCAAAAAACCCTCACATTTCTTATTATTTGTGCCCTCACCTACCTCTCTTCATTTATGTATTTATTATTTGTGTCCAACTCACATGTTTTGTACTTTTCTCCTTTTTTCATTTACTTCATGTATAATTTCCGTGAAATTTCACAAACGAGAACTATATTTGTACTTCATATACATATATAGGCCTATAACATGCTCATCCTATTACATACATACATACATACATACATATATGTATGTATGTATATAGGCCTATAACATGCTCATCCTATTACATCAACAAATATTTGTCATGCCCATTAGAAAAACAAGATATACATAAGTATGGGTTCTCACATATCCTATTCTCACTAGATCCTTCCCCTATTTTAAATTTAGATGTTCTAAATGATTCTCAATACTACCAAGAGTTCGGTGCACAATAAAATAAAGTATACTTGGTCGAGGCTACACAAGTTCATGGGCACTCACATACTACATTCCATGTAAAATTATAGAGACAACCATTTGCAAATTATATAGGCTTGTGCCAGAAGCAATAACGTACAAGTACTCTTAGCTTAAGTTCTCAAGGGAAATAAAAACCTGTTTTACACCAAGGCGCACATTCTGCAGCAACCAAGATCACATTCATCACATTTGCTCCGGCAAGAGGGGGTGGCTTGGCTTCTTCACTAACAGGATGGTTCACTTGCTCATTATTTTCCAACTGTTTTTCCTTTTTATCCTTAATACTAGAAGGAATGTAACTCCTTGACAAAAAATTTGGCTGCATAGAGTTTTCTTCAGATTCCTTTAATGTATTCACACCATTAGAAGTTCTTTCACGTGATGAGCTTTCAGTGGTTTCCCTTTTACCAAAACGTGAGCCTACATCAGACTTAGAGGGAGATTTTTCTGGTGTCCTAGTCAAGACTTCAGTGTCCAATTTACCAAAACTTGAGCCTCCATCAGACTTAGAGGGAGGTTTTTCTGGTGCCCTAGTCAAGACTTCTTTTCGCACGGAGGAACCCAAGTTTAGGGTTCTCGATAGCGATTTTCCTTGTTCTTTTCTATCTTCACTCGAATTAACAGGAGTTGGCAGTTGGTCTTTACTGGCCTTGCTGGAAACAGTGCTGCTGTTATTCTCATTATTGACATGCGTTTGACTTTTGCTATCATCATCAACCTTTGGAGAAGAGTTGTCACTATTTTTGGTGAAGGGTTCTCCATCATGGTTGATCATAGTACTTTTGATAGAAGAAACTAACTTCTTCCTTTCAGCAATCTGCACATTAGAAGGACAATATAGTGATATACTCATCCTATTATGTTAACAAATTTTAGAAGGGATGAAGGATATATTAGTCAGACAGTCATGCCCATTAGAAAAAGTAGATATACATGCCAATCAACAATACCTGAGGCTACAAATAAGTTCCTTAAATTTTTCTGTAGTATTACTGATATACCCATCAAAAAAGCACAGATACATAAACAAACACAAATTTTTAGTTCAAGGCTTCCAGCTTAGCCATCAATGTCTAGTTTGTAACAGATTTTCGTCTTTTGTTCATGGTTGCATGCAGATTAATCAGGAGTGATTTGAGTTCCAAGGGTGGATTGAGTTGCTTGAGGTATCATGTTTGACATATCCTGAACTTGTGAGACAGTTCTACACCCATATTGACCCCCCGTTACCTAAAAACTGGTGTTCTGAATAGGTCAAATACAATAATTATTTCCTTATTTCAACCTTCATATATGAAATCTTTATTTCAATTAAAACATCTTGTTGAATATTTGACCCGTTCAGGTTAAGATGAAAACAGATATTTGTAAATCAGCAATATCTAGAAATACAGTTGTATTAGATAAGTGCAGCTGACCCACTAATTGAAAATCCAAATTGCTGAGCCACAGTGTAATGGAAATAAATGGCCATATTCCCTCATACCAGAAACACATCATCAGTGGCAGGCCTACATTGGGGGCTCAAGGTATCATTATAATAATTCGTTGAAACATGCTGCAGTACAGATTCTATATAAATACTATACCTTGTGATACTAATAAACATAAACAGTGTTGCTCTAGTGGCGTGGGAAGTATGATACTAGTTGTATGTGTGCAGGTCAGGGGTTCAAAACCTTTAGGCTACAATTTTAGTTTTTTTCTTTCTTTTTTTTTAAGAAACCTTTTTATATTGTCATTCATTTTCCCACTTTTAAAAACTAGCTTATTAATTTAGAATACTCCCTTATACATTATAATTCATGTTTTCATAACACTTTTTACAAATAAAAATTCTTCTCATTTTCATAACATGTTTTCCAATGCTCGTATTTAGTCATTAATATATTTAGTTATATATTAGTAACAATATTTTATGAAAATTTACATTGAAATGCAGATAAAAAATATAACATGTGATAATTTTCATCTTACATTCAATCCTTACCATATAAAACTTTGACTTATGTATAATACTTGCATATTATATAATTTCTGGAACATAGGGAGTACTTTTTAATTTGATTGTAGTATATTGAAAACTAGAGTATACATTATTTAAATAAAAAAAATTAAATGTAAATAAGTGTTTGAAATTTGATGGTTATTATAACTACATTTGTTTTGAATATTCCAATATAACTAGTATATGAGCCAACAAAGAACTTTTACCAACAATATCTTACAATATACTCCCACCGTATTTTATTACTTACTCCACTTTCCTTTTGCAGCCATATTTTATTACTTGCTCCATTTCTATTTTTGGAAACCTGTCACAATATTTTACTAATTTATTCTCTCCTAGTAGACCCTCCAACTATCATACTTTAATATTTCTAGATTCTCTCTCCTCCCAAAAATCATACTATATTCTTCCACCAACCCCACTTACTTCATATTTTATTACTTTCTATTAAATCTCCTAAAATTCCGAGCACGGAGAAATAGAGCAAGTAATAAAATACGGAGGGAGTGACAAGTACAAAATATAAAAGTTGATACTGGGAAGCTATACAAAATTCTGTTTAATTGTATGGATAAAGCACCAATATTAGTCAAAATGATAATTTTAAAAAAAAAAAAAAAAAAAAAAAAAAAAAAAAAAAAAAAAAGTCAAAGTAGTATATATGAATAGTAAAAATACAAAATTGGGCACTTAAAAAAATACGGAGGGAGTATACGACAAGACAATGCATTATATAAAAAATTAACCCACTTTGTTCGGCTGATTGTTGTATGATGCGATAACTTGGCTAAATAGTTTACAATGAGTATCTAGTTATTTAAATTTTTTTAGTTATCTAATGCGTAGTGCTACCCCTAGTTAGAAATCCTAAATTCGCCACTGTGTAGCATAATCATCATGGCTCAACTATAACCTTCAAGAATTACAATAGGAGTCAGGAGGAATGCTATAGCATACAAAATAACTTCAATATTCCAAGAATCTACTCAAAACAGAATTTGAGCCCATTCTCCATGTTAAACTAGAAGCACATGTTGGAATTTAAGTGATGGGTTTCCGAGAGAGAGTGATGTTAAACTTTACACAAGAATGGATGATTGAGAAACAAATTCCAAGGGCAGGAATTCTAACATTAAGGCATTCAAACCAATTGGATAAGTAAACAATGTCATTTAAGGTGTAGTAGCTAGTAACCTAGATCACTATTACTTTAAATTAGGTTACATAGAATAGTACTAACTAATTTCACTCTTACAGTAGGATTATAGCATAAAACCAGTTACTAAACCAACTAAGCCATATGTCTGCAAACAAAGTTCATTCACCAAATGGTCTTTCTTATCTCATGGAAATCACAATATATTCTTCCAAGCCATGTTTTGATTCTCACGCCCCTCCAACGGTGTGATAGGAGGCTTTCATAGGTCATGACAAATGAGGTTACAATCATTGTACTACCTTTGTTACATATTATGTGCAACTTTTAGATATTATTTGTAAGATATAAAAAAATTCAAAAGTTGCACGTAATATGTAAAGGAGGTAGAACCATTACCAATAATCACAGTCACAATGACATCAAGTTCCTTTACCGCAAATCCATACAAATATGACTTTTACGCTACCTAATCTTAGAATGACATATGTAAAAACTTCATTATTAGGTACACATTCTCTCAACACCATCAAGATACATTCTCTTAATAACACAAGACTAGAACAAAACAGACTTCGATGAGGATTCAACAGCCGTACGTATAAAAGTCTAAAACTAGGCACTTAACCGACTTCAATAAGAATAAAAATGTGAACAAAGCAAGAATATCTTATACCTGTTGAAGTAGCTCTTTCTGCATAGCTAGAACCTTATTGCTCTTCTCAATTGTAGCTTGGACAGCATCATCAGTCTCATTGCTATCATCCCCTTCACCCGAATCATTCGAAACCGCCTTTAACCGATTAATCCCCCATGAATCTCCTCGTCTACACCAATTCACTGACTTCATACAGCACAAAGATGACCTCCCATGAGCATAATCCCCATTATGATCCAAAAACTTCAGAAAACCACCGTAATCCAAAGGCTTTCGCCGTTGATAAGCCAAAGGGTGAGACCCAATTGAGTTATGGCGCAAACACCTCGTCTCAATGGTAAAAGGAAACGAATTTAGAGACGCCATCTAAGTGTTCGACGAAATGCGTGAATGAAAAGTTCAGGGTTTTGGATTAAAACACAGTGACCCAGTTCAGAAAAATGGAAATGGAAGTAAACCCAGAAATTGAAATTTCGATTGGAAGTGGAATTTGATGAAAAAGGGAGGAGAGAGAAAGTGGGTGATATTGGGAACAGTGAATTGCAGAAACCAAGAACGAGTTAACTCAGCAGTCACGAACACGTTCGTTAAGAAAGGAGGACCCACACACATTAGAAGATCATGAAAAACCTGGGAATTTATGAGGTCGATTTTTGCAGGAAGAAAAAAAGTACATTGATTTTTTATAATTTGTGAAAAAAGGGAAACAGAAAAATAAAAAAAATGTACTGTGTGATTCAGGGAAGAAGTGAAGAAGAAACGATGACTTTTGAACCTTTGACCAATTGAACACTCTCACTCTCTCACTATCACTGTCATTGTGGGTCCATAAAAAGGAATACTAATGAATCTAGATATAGCCAGCCCAATGATGTTGTGAGGTGGCCCAATATGACTGTATGCAAGTACGCAACTCTTGAAAAACTACTATGATGTGGTCAGCTGCACGTTAAGGAACTTGATTTCGACAATATCAAATAGGGTAAATTTGACGGTTGAGGATTTATTGCAATGGAAGAAGGTTTTTATAAACAAAAAGTAAAATTAATGAATTTTCTTTAACTAGTCAAAATAAAAGAAGGGGTGAATCGAAAATGAACAAGTTGAGTTACTTTATTTTTAATTAATTGATTACTCGGTAATAAGTAGGGGTTACTCTTATGGACTAAATAAGGTTACCATTATAAAGATGTTACTCATATTAATGAGTAACGTTACTCTTAAAAACAAATGTTACCACATAATATAACTAACCACATTCAACACTAGCTGAAATTCCAATACGGTATGTTACATATGTATAACGGAGTATATAAAATGAAAACAATAAATTAAACATGTTGAGCAACACATCATAATTATTAAACATTGTTATTCATCACCTCACAAAAATACTAAACAAAATAGATATAGATGATAATCAAATCTCTCATAATTGATTACGGTGCATGACATTCAATTATTAGTAACCTACAACAATTCCCTATATAACTCAACAATTGAAGTGTAGGTACCAGATATTGTAATCAATATACTTATAATTATTGTGGCTATCACTAATATCGCTTCTCCTCTTAATTGAATTCTTGATATCTTCAAATAGCATAAGCAAGGAAGTGTGATTGATGTAGTAACGCTTAGAAGTGCTCCTACAAAGAGACATGAGATACCCAAAGAAAGGAACAACCAATGCTACAATTACTTGGGAAGCTACCAAACTTGTCCTTGATAAAATTTTGAACCATCTTTTTTTTGTAGTAATTTGGGAACCAACCCTCAATAGAATTCACAATGGGCTCTGGCTAGGGGTGTGTATAAACAGGACCGGACCTGAAAACCGACCTGAATCGGACTTGTTGGGACCAAACCTGATCCGGACCTGTAGATTCAGGTCTGGTCCCGGTCCTTGAAATTCAAGATTTCCGGTTCCGGTCCGGATCAGGTCCAAAACCGTGGTTTCAGGTCCGGACCTTAAACCCGGTAAAATTGTATTTTTAAAAAAAAAATAAAAAAAATAAAAAATCAAAAAAATTCAAAAATCAAAACAGGTCTATGCAACAGGTCTAAAAATCAAAAAAAAATTGTGATTGAGAATTTGGGATTATATGTAATTATTAAATTATGCAACAGGTCTTAAAATCACAAAACAAGTCCGTATACAGGTCCATATGCAGGTCCAACAGGTTATTTATTAAAAAAACGAAAAAAATAACAAAACAGGTCTATTCAGGTCCAAAACTCGAACCACACCTGATTTTTCAGGTCTGACCCGGAACCGAACCTGTTTCTGATCCTCAAAATCCCCTAATTCAGGTCCCGGTCCCAACATGTCCGATCCAGGTCCGGTCCGGTTTTGGACCAATGAACACCCCTAGTTCTAACATCAATGCATATTTTGATATTGTGGATTCACCAATGTTGTATAGATTGCAATCTTTCTCTAAGCTTATAGCTGGAAGGTTTAAAGTTATTTGAGAATCTACTTTTGAACCATACATTAGATACCCTATAATCAGGACAATCTTAAACCTTTTAGGGGTCCTGTGCCATAAAAAAAATATAAAGTTCTACTTCTCTAATTTCAAACACTTTGCCTTTTTTAGTTATATAGATAAGAAATAGGTATAACTAAAATTTAATATGATACAAATAAAAAGTTAGAATTATCAAATGATATAATGAAAAATAAAAAAAGGTAAAAAAAAAACTTACCGAAGGGTATAAAAGGGAAAAAAAAAGTTATCAAACATTAAAAAGTAAAATAATCACCGAAAGAAACCTTGCATTTTTTAGTCATAAATAAATAATATGTATAACTAAAATAAAATCTAAAAGTGAAAATTGGGGAGAAAAAAAAAAAAAAAAAAAAATTCAACCGGTAAAAAGCAAAATAGAAACAAAAAATTAAGTCAAAATGTTGGGGACCAGATTCGAACTCTCACCCCATACTAAGAAAAGGAACCGTATTCAACAACTGTTTGACTTACCATCTCAACAAAAATGTTTTACAGAAATACCAGCTCATTAAAACTGTTTTATACTTATTAATAGATATCAGAATTTGGGACCTCACATTGCTATTTGGTTGTTTGCACAGCCTAATAGCTGGCCCTGCCTATTATATATTGCCATTGAACCGTAACCAATTGTTGAACAAGAGAGACATAGAAGTAGTACCCGCAGTCGACAAATGCCAAAGGATTGAATATAAATACAATTACGAAATATCAAAGAGCTATCTATTACTCTATACTAAAGTGAAATCTTTTCTAGAGGGAATTTCCCTCCTAAACTCAACCTTTTTTTTTTTGGTGAAGCATTAATTTGTTTTGGAAATTGATTATATTTATCTATTACTTCGTATTATATATTTTTGTGAATCAATCTATCTATAAGTGTATACTAGGGTTTTTTTCCCTCCCAAACCCCCTACAAATCCCGCCCAATATTCACAAGTGACTTACTACCTTCATTTCATATTATTTGCAACTTTGAATAATACACAAACTCCTAGAAAAAATTTGTTTGTGAGTATAGAATGGAGAGAGAAAATTATGGATGCATGTGATGTGGAGAGAGATAGAGAGAAATGACGAATTAAAAAGGAAAGAAAACATTTGTTGCAAATAATGTGTTGCATCCATTTTTGTTTGACAAAAGATGCAAATAATATGACACAGAGGTAGTATAATCTTATTTTTTTTTTAGAAATATTTTCTCTCTCATGCTTAATCTCGTGGATAATAACGCAGTGTTCTATTTCCATTCACCTTATTTTCACTTATTTCAGATGTAATAAGTTCAGTTAGGTTCAGAAAAAATAAGTTTTGATAAGGGTTATCAAAGTAAAACTTACAACTAAAAGAAGTTTTCATCAGGTCTAATAAGTTCAGATTAGTTCAAGTAAATTCAAATAAGTTCAGATAAGATAAGATAAGATAAATTTTGATAAGTGAAAATCAGGTGAATAGAACATATCATAACTCTTATCACCCTTGGAAAGTAATACAAAACTAGTATGATGATAAAAAAAATAATTCAAAAGTCTTACTAATTAATATTACTTCATATCCGAAGTATTATATTATAAAGATGATTCTAGGCGATGTATTTGTCCATATAACAACTAATGGTTGTGAGAAATATTTAATATTGGGCTGGGAATTACAATACGAAGACTTAGGTAATTAAGTCATTGTTTCTTACTATCTAACATTTGTCCATTTATATTTCGTTTTATCTTCCTTCTCTAATCAATCAATCAATATTTCAATCAATAAAATAATACTAAAATAAACACTAGGAATGACACGTGTCAATTCCTGGTGCAATATTTCCCCTCCAAAACCTATTTTCCTTTTTTGTTTTCTTTTTTCTTCATGTTAAACATTTTTAGGAAAGTTTTATTTTGTATGGCTAGAATCTAATTATATCCTATTGTTTGTAACTGTTTCAACTATTGTTTCCTATATTTTAAGATTTAAATTTATCAAATTTTTTTCAAATTTCAATATTATTTTTTAAATTAGTCAACATAATATTGATATCTTATTTTTTTTCCAGTCATTTTCTAAATAACTTTAAGTGCAATCGAAATAATTTTAATTAATCTTATTTTGTTGTGAAATAAGGAGAAACATAAGAGATTGAGAGAGAATTAATCTGTATATCTTTTATTCCATATGATTGGGTATATATATATATATATAAAAAATATAATATAATATAATATAATTAGGGTTGGTTGGATAAGAATATAAACCCTAGATGTAGAATATTCTGGAATAATAAAAGGAGGATAATGGATATCCACAAATATTTCATAACACTCCCCCTAGGATTTCCATTATTGAAAATTATGCCTCGTTAAAACCTTATTAGGAAATACCATGGTTCTTGAATTAATTTTGGCTTGTGCACTAAAATTGAATTTTTGTAAGTTGAACTTGTTTTATTTTCATATTGTTCAATATTAGTTCTAGAAATAATTTAGAATTAATTTTATTTTGTCACACACAAAATCAGAATAAAATTCTGAGGCACAAGCACGCAAATTGAGGCACTAAGCCTCTAGCATAAACTCTCGCCCAGCTGGACTGCTTGCGCAGCGCACATGTGGCTGACGAGAGTATGTGCGGCATGCTCGTGCGGGAGTGTGTGCGAGCAAGCACCAACTTGGTGCGGCATGGCTGCGTGCGTGTGTGGCTGCTAGGCGGCACCAGCCCGCACAGCATGGCCTTTGAGGCCAGCACTTGCGTGCGTTGCAAGCACACTACTAGGGCCAGCATAACGTGCGAGCGATGCTATCAGCGACTAGCAAGTGGCTTGGTGCAGCAAGGGATGTGGGGCAGCACCTACGCATGGCAGCCCGGGGCTTGGTGCCTACCAAGCCGAGCCTCGTGGCTTGGATGCTAGGCACTCGGCCGTAAGGAGCTATTATTTTTGCGATTTTGCGGTTTTTCGTTTTAATTAAAACGAGGCTAGGCCTCGGTTTTTCTCGGCACTTGAAAGATTTTTTGCAAAATTTTGGGTTAATCGGCTTAATTAATTTTAAATAAGTTGGATGTGTAATTTAGTGGGAGCTTCGTTAATCATTTTGAGCTATTATTATTGTGTTAATTCACATAATCGGATAACAACTTTGACTAGTTTTAATTAGGCGCGTTAATTGGATTAACCACCTAAATTGGTAACTAGTTTTGCGCTCGATTAGAATTGTTGATTGAATTATTTGTAAAATGCATGGGCCATTCACATTAGTG